CTCGATTGGCCGTGGCCATATTCAGTCCTGTGCAACCTGACCTGACCTGACCTGACCTGAGGAAAGCCACAAACTGGACGCAGGTTTTGCCACAGCTGCGATAAATTTATTCGCATTTTAAAATGACAAATTATTCTTCTGTGTTGTCGCACTGATGTAAAATAGTGCATTTCAAATACTGACAGACGTTTTTGGATATAATAAATGATCAGAACAAGTGGAAATCTGGTCATCCCGATCGTTACATGGGCGCCAACACCACCCATACACAAAATATGTTGCATATTGGCTTCAGATGATGGAAACGACATAGTTACTGGCGCATCAGATGGAAACATGATTTTGTGGAGCGTTGGAAAGAATTCGGAGTTTACTGCTCGGTGGATGGTTACGGGTCATCGTGCGCCTGTTCTTCATCTCTGTCTTGCCGGTTCGCGTTCGGATGAAGATTCTCGTGTTTTCTTTAGTCATTCATCCGCAAGGTATGAAAGAAAAATTTTATTGCTCAAACAGTAAAATGTTCACGAATTTAAGTTAAGCTTTGTTGCTCCCTATGGGTCCCTTTAGCTCTAGTCTTCAGCGTTGAAGGTAGAAGGCAGGTTATCCATGTAGGCCCTTCAAACGTGTCTTTGTCATATTTATCACGCTTTTTCCAATGCGACGGTTTGTGCAATGGTCTTCCCGTTCTAGAGGTTATTAAGAAGCATCTTTCTACCCGTCAGTCGAATCAAATCCCTTGCAAAACACGCTGCTAAATGTTCTCGACTTTACCGAAACGAAGTCTAGTGAAGACACGAAATCCATGAATTTGTCCCATTCCCAAGTCCAATCGGCTTCTTTCGGNTTCTTTCGGGTGCTCGAAAAAAATTAAGCTGCACTGTAAAAACGATTGCTCCGATTTAATGGTGTTTAATGATGTTATGTTATAAGGCTGTCCAGCATTGTATAGCACCGTATACCACTTTCGTGCGTCGGTTTTAGTTGCTGTCTCTTTACTACCCATTTGGATAATGGAATTAGGGAAAAATTGCAATATTTAAATCAGTTTCATGGTGAAGGGTGAATTCTACAAGCATCCTCAACTGCGCCAATATTATGAATGAGAACGAATGTTTTTTCCAAATATCCATACCTTGATTCTTCTACAGCTTCTGACAGCACAACCTAAAAGCTCGTGTCAAGCTTAATTAGCCGCACACTTGGATTGCAGAAACAGCCTGAAATCATTGCTGATGACCGCTGCCAAATGACCTCAGAGACATGTTGTAACTACACAATCTCTCTCTTTTGTGTCATCATCGAATCTTGTGGTCGATAGCTGAAACACTTTGCGGTTCAGTGATAGATCCCATTTCTTCCACCACCATCGGACCCCATCTAGTTCTTGATCCGACCCTTCCCCGCCTAATTTTACGTTAGCAGCGAAAGTAAGACCCTTGGCTAGATCGTTAATGTACATTAGGAACAATGACGAACTTAGTAACGATCTCTGCGAAACACCAGTTATACCCACAGAATACACTAAATATCCGTCAGTCCGGTATTCGCATGCTCTATTCCCTTCCCTTATCCAAGAACCCCAGCACCTGCGTTTTAGCTCCAGCAGTCTGTTACTAACGGAGTCTAAAGTTTTGCTTAAACGCAAATAGGAGTCCTGTACATAGCAAATATCATCTATTCTCCATGTGACTTCCTCTGAAAGTACCAGGAAGTTGGTAAGGCATGATTGTTTTCCAGCGAATTCGTGCTGGGTTTCAGTCAGGATCCTGTGTGTTGTTAGGTGGCTGCAGGCCGGCTTCCTTACCATTATCTCTGGACACTTGCGAAAGTTCGAAGTTGAACTAGTCAGTTTATGATTGCAGACCTTATGCCTGGGGTCTTATTTGTGAAAAGTAACCCCTATTGCTGTCTTATAATCTTCCGGAAGAATACTGGTCATTCTGGGCGCGTCCTGCAACTTAGTCACCGGTTCCAACAATACACCTGCAATTGTCAGAATCAAGGCGGGATTCAATCCAACTAGACCTGCCACCCTATCCCGATTTCGCAGGTAGAGCTCCCGAGCCACATCGTTTTCACATACGGTGAATTCAGTGATTCGCTTCCTTGTTCTACTTGAGGCAAAATCTACAGTCTGTATTCCCATTGGTGGTTGGTATATTCAGTTGACAAGGAGCACTTTGGTATTTCCCTGATACGTTTTCTCTCTCTCATTTCATACCCACCTTCAACTTAGTTTTTGTCCGCCTAGACATGTGCATAAAACCTCTGGGTTATGCACTACGTTTAGTGTCAACTATTCACGCCAATAGTTTGCATTCCTTCTTAAGGTTTACGCTCTATTGTTTGCTTTCTTGTAGACTGACAGTCCTGTATGCTATATAGTGGGCAAAGCATCTCCTTCGGATCACTAGTACTCAATCTATCTGTGGTTTTCACCAAGCGGGAAACAGTAATTATTCCTATCCTAGTAAAATTAGGCGGTGGACTGATAAAACAAGGGGAGAAGCGTTGGCTTTTCCTTTCCCACTAGCGTATTTTTCACAAACTAAAGGAGACTAAGGGACTGACGCTGGCTTTACGTGTGGTACTACACATCGAGCAAATATGTGTAGTAGGCAAGGGGTAGTAGATACTCCGTATGTTCCAAGGTTAAACTTATCGAAAAACTTGTGAACTTCTGTTCTGTTTGCAAAATATATGTGAGGCAGAGGGATTACTGGTAGATAACTCCGTAACCACGTAATCAATGAATTGAATCAACCACGAGGAGGAATATGCGGTGCAGATAGGCCAGGGTATTCACCGGAACCTTGAAAAAGCGTTCCTTCCGATTAAAATGTACCCTCGCAGATGGCCCTTAAAAAATGACCTCAGGATTTACTTGTGACTTACTCACCTGCCACCCAGGACTGGTAACCAGCAACACGCATCGCGGTGTTTAAGGATAGCAATGTGCTTGAAAAACCGTAGCGGGACGAAGGATAACACGTGATTCATGTTCGTAATTCGCTTCACCCTGAAGATGAAAAAGAAAACATAATACAGGTTCAGTGCGAGCTAATGGGTGTTGTCCGAGATATCTAGGGTGCTATAATTTAGCCCTATGTATAGATATATGTATATTTTACAATACTTGGTGTATGAATGAATCGATGGAATTTCTCTGGAAGCACACGACCTTTTTCACGGTTCTTGCTGCTCATCAGGAATGCGTATCCGGTAATCTTTTGTCACTTTATTCATTTTTATAAAGACGTTTAAGTCACGTTTGTTGCGGTTAGTAACACCTAAGACATCTACAAAACATTGAATCGTTGTATTCATTCATAACTGGACTGTTTCTGAAAGAGCTGTCAAAGCAAATCTGTACGGTGTAATAAATAAAGTTATTTTGACGAAAACATATATATCATCCCTCTAGATTTTTGAATCATCTCCGCTCTCATATGTACGATCATTAGTAACCAAGAAAAGGCCGAAATATGGAATTTCATCCAATTATCGTTTATTTTAACGAAAATATGTGGAACAAAATGATTTTTCACGGCGGTGAAAGTATTGTTTTCCCATGGACTTTAATCACTGAAGCTACGGTATTACTCTGAATAAGATTTATTATAATATCCTTTTTGATGTTATTCCACTCCCTGATCAAGAATACCTTTAAATCATGGTTTGTGGTGTAAACTCTGGAGTGTTAGTGCACCTTTGGGGTAAGACTAACCTAAACGTTTTATTTTGGGCTCCAATCTCCACTGGACGCAAACCACACCATAGTTTCGATGCAGCAAAACAATAACCAGTATTTTGTCAGATACGAGTAATGAGCTGCGGCGTTATCATACCGGAAAATGGCTTCAGAATGTCCATTTGATGCTGTTGCTGGTATAAGGTACCGCTCCAGTGCATGCATCAGAATCTCGCACCCCATGTAGTATAATGAATTCGGTTGAACCGTTTCTTGAGAAAGCTCCGCATACCATCATGGTTTTGGTCGTTAACCCACTTACTGAAGCACCGCTCGTTCCACAAATCATGCCGATTGTAAGTCCACGCTTTGAGTCTATCAAAATTCAATTTTTTGGTCACTAAAGCAGATGTAAATCCATGCGTTTTTCCAAGTTAGCTTGGTTTCAGTTGACAACAAAATTTCTACTTGTGGAGTTGTTAACGCTATGCACCGTTGCCGAACGGGATGGTGCTTATTCCTCCTAGAGAAAAATTAAACAATAAGCTGACGACCCCAGAGGAGAAACGTTGGTTTTGTCTGTTTTAAAAGAATGAATGTGTGTAAGCCCCCCCCCCCCCGTGTGTGTGTGCACGGTCATCATCACAACCGAGGACACACCTGAGTAATTTAATCAAGTCGCCCGAGTTTTGATCATTGCAAATGAATCCGCTTCGCATCCGATTTAAGTCGTTCCGGCCGAGTATGTGAACCAAGCTTTACAGCCGACTTTGAAATCTCCAAGGATGGTGAACCGGCGAGTGAAACTGACCTCCAGTAGGTTCGTAATGATTAAAGACAGATAATCGGAGGTGATGAAGTTTGCTCTATTGTGGGAACGGTGGACTAAACAAAAGTAGGAGGGTTAAACGGCGGAACCGAAGTTTCAACTTCATCAACTAAAAGTTTCCGGTTTAGAAGTTCGTTTTGAGTAAAAATGGATAAAACTCATTTTGAGCGATTCGTCTCCTCCGGCCAATGCTGCCATTTATATAATTACCGCTAAGGAGGACTGTAATTTCTCATGCCAAAAGAAATGAACTTGAAAATTAGGTAATTTTCCTGTTTTTGGTTTGGTATCTAGTCCGGATGTGACAGAAATTGGGAGGATGAGCACAAATATGGGGTGGTGGAGAGAGCCATGGGAGCCACAATAACTTCATGAATTATTTTTGTGATATGTGCACCCAAAAAGTGAGTGCGAATTTCCACTGCTTCCATTGTGACTGGGAAGCGATGCTTGTTTGATCCGCTTTGATAGTTGTTTATTCACCGGGCGAGGGAGAGGAATCGTCCAGGTCAAGTCAACTGACTAGACAAGGTATGAATATTTTGTGTTCATGATTGATTGATAGGGCGGTGGTGGCGCAGTGGTTTATTCGCTGTCACCGGCGTGCTTTGAGCCCTATGGTCCGAGGTTCGAGCCCCGCAGTCGCCACCCGACTTTGTTGGCAGACAGCTCTGTCTGTCCTCTTGTTCAATACCACACCTAACATATCGGGGCCTTATGTATTTCGCCACTCCAAGTCCCAGGGCTTAGGTTGCCGGTTTCCACCAGTGAACAGCAGATCCTCATGACTATGGGATTCGCTCCGTCTGCTGTGTGTAATTAAAAAAAGATTCTGTGAGCCCAGTTTAGTTGGGGGATTCGAGTAATGGCGACTGATTTGTGAATGTTGGCACATAAGCTAGCTTTGGACCGAAATGATGTGTGTAGCCGATAGAAAACTGGAGGTGAGTGATGTATAAAGAAAGATAGATTTATTTTAAATAGGACAAGTGAAGATGAGGATTGGAGTAAGTGATACACGAAATCAACGTGTTATATCTATGAATCCCTGGTTTAGGAAGAACACAAGTCACTATACTGGAGCGGGCTGACTTTAAGTATGTCAAAATGATTTACAGGGTTAACGGATGAAATACAGATCAATGAATATCAGGTTTGTCAATCCTTTTGAGGTGGATAACGAGGTCAATCAGTCATGTGCCATTCGATGCAAGTACACTCTCATCCCACCTCCGTCCTTTCAAAAAATTAAATAGGACACCCCACGGACTACTCAAAAGTTTGATTCTCGGAGTTGATGATCAGTAGGCGTTTTGGAGGTGGAGTTCAGATTGAGCTTCACCGATCAGGTTTATCATGTTTTTCGATGCAGGTGCTGAAATCTGCCGTACCTGTGTTTATAATTCGATGGCCCATCAGTATATCCATGGGTATGCAATCAGAGGAGCGTTCGTTGAATATTGTCACCCGGTCCTATGTCCAAGGTGGTTGATATGCTTGGTATGTACGCAGTGTCTTATTCTGATTAATCAATGCCATTTTATACTCTTTCCGAGAATCCATTTCTCCAATCGGTTGCTGAAGTTACGCACATACAAGTGATCTGCTTTGAACGTTCTCAGTGTGACGTTAGTATTTTTAGCAATGTGTGACTCCGTAATATCTTGCACGCTCGAAATCATAGCAGTATGGACTAGCCACATTCATTGACCTAGAATTATTTCAGTCGGGGGCTTCTGTTCTGGGGTAGCTGAGTTGAGAGTCGAGCCGTAAGTTAGGAGAAATGCATCAATGGACCATTGTAGTTTACCCTCCCTTGTGACATGATCAGAGAGCGTTTAAATATGTTAACAAATGGTACAACTGCGGATGACATACTGAAGAACGAACATGATGAAT